GGGGGGGGGGGGTCCTTTCCTCATATTTTAAAAATCTAATCTTTCCATCTTTCCTAACAATATTTCTCTTTTCCTACAGAGTTTTAAAAACTATTATTTTTAAATCCTGGAATTCCGAGAACCAATTTTCTATATTAATTATGTCCTCGTTTGGACTCGACACATTTGAACGCGTCGTTCGCAATGTCCAGTGGTGGCCAAACACAAAGATCCACTTAACCATAAGTACTCAAAGTCACACACTCTGTACACCTTACAGTATCCATACTGTTTCTAGAGACAATAGGGGATCTAATCTTTCCATCCCTGTAACCTGAAACAATATTTCTTTGCTCCTACAGAGTTTTAAAAAAATGTTATTTTTAATTTCTGAAATTCCGAGAACCAATAGTCTATATGTCCTCCTGTGGACTCGACACATTTGAACGCTTCGTTCGTAATGTTCAGTGGTGGCCACTCAACCACGAGTGCTCAAAGCAACATATACTTTAAACCTTACAGTATGGAGCTGATTCTAGAGACAATAGGGGGGGGGGGGGTTATGAGGTTGCCCAAGTAGACAGCATTTGTGGAGATAATATAACCTGAAAGGTGAATATATGGGCTTTGCCAGGAGACCAAAAAAGATGTCATAGTCAAAGAGGAAAGGTTCACACTTGTCAAGCGATTGAGGAATTATGAACACATTGCTATCCTGTGATAGCTTCGCGAACAAGAAAATGGTACAGTCGTCGTAGATGAAGATATACCTTGAGAATGTGGACTGTTGAGATGTAGGAAAGTCCTTGCTGCAGACATTGTCTACGGACAGACGTCTCAAAGGGTACATCTACTGAATTCTGCACCCTGGTGACCTTTAAAGGGGTTCGAACGGTCGTGGTTGACCTGCAGTTGTCATTTTTCCGAGGAATTTTTAGTTCTGATTCTCTACAGGTCCTAACTGATTGACCATTTCCACCCTTGATATTTAACTTTTTTTCCGTACCATGTGTGAAACTAACAAAATGAGTTGGTGGTGAGGAAATGTTCAATACAAAAAGCTCTCTGCTCTTTACTGATCTTGACCATGATCTCAGCAGGCAAAGGAAACTTGAGAAACACTATCTGCAAACTTCTGTTGGCCTGTTGTACTACTGCATTTTGCAATATGGCGCAATCGTTGGGATTTTTAGTGGTAGGCCTAATGCGAACTTGTGCGTCATGCTACAATAAATGGGGACAAAACAGAAAATGGGTTGTCTTTTTACACACTATTTAGATCAAAACTATTCTATGGATGAATCTAAAATGAATATCAGACAAATTCATTTTGACTTCCAAATGTTGTGAACAGATTTGAAACGCAAAACTTTTGTGTGGAGGAAAATATTTGTTTTTTAAGTTGTACTGTTGTTGTTGCTTTTTAGATCACCTTGTACTTTTTCTCACTTTTCCTGGGCTGGGCGTGCGTTCACTTTTTGGTATCTATAAAAGTTAATAGTGCTAACAGACTGTAACCTTTTCTACTGCGGCAGACGAGCCGTTGGGCTTGATATTCTGTGTCATGCATTCTTTCTATGAGACGTTTGACATGCTTGATATGAACAAAAAAATTCAATGTGATCTAGTGGGCACCATCGCATGTTTAGTGCTTCTTGTAAACAAAAACCAAAAAAATCAAACGTAACAGATTTTCTGGGTGAGGGGGGTGTTCGTTTGGGGTTGTTGGGTTTTTTTTGGGGGGATGGGGGTTGGGTTTTATTATTTTTATTTTATTTTTTTTTTAATTTTTTTGGGGGGGGTAGGCGTAATATCCATAATCCATAGGCCTAATAGTATTTTTTTTCACGATAGACCTACATAAAGAGTATTTTACTTCTCTCTCTGTACCGGTGTCTGTGATATAGCGTTTAGGCGCTCCGCCGTCGCATGCAGAAGCCCTTAGTTCCATTCCACGTGTGGGGAGAATTTTTACCGAGTATCACGGTCTTTCTGTTGGGGAGTTGCATACCTCTGGACCTGGGTTGGACCTTCTTAATTACCTAAATTGTGCCTATGGGGACGTAAAAAATCTCCTGCATTAAAAAGCATCTCCTGTTTTCCATTTTATTCTTTTTCGTTTTCCTTTCTACCTAGATTCGTTTCCATTTTCAGAGACGATCTCCTTGTATTGATTTGGGTGTCAATTCAATTAGATTTCTTCATTATGAATAGCTAGTACGGACGATACAAAGTCAGTTATGCATGCTTTGTAATTCAATGTTCAATGTCATTACAGTGCGGGAGACAGAATAATGACACCTCGATACACGCATTGTGAGTGAGGCAAAATGTGCAGAGAAAGTACGAGAATTGTTTGTCTTCTCATCACCGCCTGTCTGAGATATGTCGCCGCCCATGACGAGTGTGGTGATCACGTGTTTCCCGGAGAGACAGACGTGGACATCAAACTTCCCGCCATATTTGGTATGCGGCAGTCTGAGGAAGGAATATGTCAGTCTTGGTCGAAGATTGCGTTGCAGGTAGGATGTGATTCGTCTGTGTTGAGGTTAATTGCCTTCAAGTACAAGATACATGATAAGTTATTTCGAGTAAGTAGAGCTTGGTTGCCGAAAGAGGTCCCTTAGCCCCACTGAATGTCCAAAGTATGTTTGTCACGTGTATATTGCAACTTCTCAGAAACAGCCGGTCGTAGGTTTTATAT